GAGAGATTTATGGTAAGACGAGCGTTCATGATTGATAGAGAAGTGTTGGTACATTTGTATGAAGCATAAACAGAAGGGATTCCATCAATAGGGGAAATCTTTACCTTAGCTTTATCTCATCATTGTTTACAACCTTAGAGTTTTAGTTTACAGCCGGTTTAATTTACTTGCAATCTTAGTTAATAAAGAAACCATCAACTTGTGATTCAAACATTTGGGAAGCTGGTTCTGAAGAGTTTAGTGGGTCTAAAGATTGTGATTGATAGGTTAACTCTCTGTGNAGAAGACTTCAACCACCTCAACAAACAGACAAATTCGAAACTGATATGGGAGACGCAATCGACCCCAACGGAAACGGCAGGCATGAGCAAGTCAACTTGATTGTCAGAGAAGCGGCACCTCTGGTGCCCGAGGGTGCACTGTATGACTGGGCACATCCCACAACTGACAATTTGGCTACTGCCATAGTTATGGCCGCAATACAAGCTGAGTCATTCCAGATCACAAATAACATGCTGCACTTGTTGCAAAACAAGGGACTCTTCTCTGGGACACAACTTGAAGATCCTCAGCAACACCTGAAGAACTTCCTGTCAATCTGCAAGACCCAGAGGCAGCCCAATGTCACTCCAGAGGCTATAAGGCTATTATTGTTCCCATTCTCGGTGACAGGAGCTGAACAGGTTTGGCTAAACTCACTCCCCATAAATTCTATAGCAACTTAGGATGAGTTAATCAAGCAGTTTCATAACAAGTTTTATCCACCCAACAAAACTGCCCAACAAATTGATGAGATCGTGAGCTTCAAGCAGAAACCGATGGAGACACTTCATGAAACATGAGGCAGGTTCAAAGGAATGTTGGTTATGTGTCCACATCATGGTATTCCAGAACAGATGTTGGGACAACGATTTTATATGGGACTGTCAGATGGGTTGAAGAATATTGTGGATGCCTCAGCTGGTGGGGCATTCCTGAGCAAGACATGGAGTGAAGGTCAGAGTTTACTAGATAAAATGGCACAGAATTCGGGATGGACATCCAGGAATGCACCCATCACTCCAGTGGTGCACTCAGTGCCTCTTGATCCTTCAAACACTATGGCTGAAAATATGGCGACTCTCCTGACACAAATGAGCATCCTCACCAAAAAGGTGGAGGAATCAGGGCAGAAGCAGCAGGTACACATAGTAGATACTACCAATGGGGGCCTGTGCACATCTTGCATTAGTCAGCCAATTGGTAATCCTTGGAATACAGAGCTTGATCATCATCAGCAGCACCCTGAAGATATGAACTATGTTGCTAACTATGGGGGTCAGAGACAGGGAAATTAGAACTGGGGTCAGCAGACTCAGCAGCAGTACAGACCACCTCAGCCACAATATAACGCCGGAAACATGGGAGGTATAAGACCCCCCAACAACATGGCACCGTATTCTAGACCACAGGGGTACAACAATCAGCAGCAGGGGTACCACCCTCCTCAGCAGCAGCATGGTGGAAGACAGGACGATGGGTTTGCTAGACTGGAAGCAATGATGCAGCAGGTTATTGGGTCCACTGCNAACTCCAGTGGTGCACTCAATGCCTCTTGATCCTTCAAACACTATGGCTGAAAATATGGCGACTCTCCTGACACAAATGAGCATCCTCACCAAAAAGGTGGAGGAATCAGGGCAGAAGCAGCAGGTACACATAGTAGATACTACCAATGGGGGCCTGTGCACATCTTGNTAGGGATCTCGACGAAGAGCGAGAGAGAGCTCGTGACAATATACAGGCTGAGACACTCATTCAGGTACCCATTGAGCCATTGAGCTGGATGAATCCACAAGGTTGACAGATGTGACAGTCCAGCCTGCTCAGGAAGAAAAGAATACTAAGCAGGAGACCGAGAAAGTTGCTGAAGCAGTTGAAGAGCCGGTAGTAGAGATAGTAGCCAAGAAAGAAAAGTCCCAAGTGATTGGGAAGAAAAGACCTCCTCCACCATTTCCACAGAGGTTAGCCAAGCATCAAAAGGAGGAGCAGTACAAAAAGTTCTTTGAGATGCTCAAGCAAATTCAGGTAAATATTCCATTGATTGAAGCCTTAAAGGAGATGCCTGGATACGCAAAAATGATGAAAGACTTAATGTCCCGGAAAGTTGATTTTCAAGACTTGGCTACGGTGACACTTACTCAGACGTGCAGTGCAGTGGTAACTAGACCTGTTGCTGAAAAGCTCTCTGATCCAGGGAGTTTTACTATTCCATGTACAATTGGAAACTTTGCTTTTGCGAAAGCACTCTGTGATTTAGGGGCCAGCATTAGTCTTATGCCCCTGGTCATTTACAAGAGGTTGGGCATAAGGAGAGCTAGACCCACCTCTATGTTTCTACAGCTGGCTGACAGGACTGTGAAGCGTCCATTTGGGATCCTGGATGATGTACTTATTCAGGTGGGGAAATTCGTGTTCCCTGCAGATTTTGTAATATTGGATTGCAAGGTGGATGAAGAAATTCCTATCATCTTAGGAAGACCTTTCTTGGCCACGGGGAGAGCTCTTATTGATTGTGAGACCGGGGAGCTTAAGATGAGGCTCAATGACGAAGAGATTATATTCAATGTGCAGAAATCTATGAGGCGCCCAAGTGAGTTCGCAAATTGCTCTCTTATTGATGCCGTGGATGTAATCGTACAGTCTGCTGATGAAGTGTTGACGATTAAGGATCCCCTCGCTGCATGTTTGACGAATTTGGAGGAAGTGAACGGTGAGGACTTGGCAGAATGGGTGTTGGCATTGGAAGGTAGAGGGTTCTGGGATAGAGAACTAGAGTTTGAGCCCCTACACTTAGGAAAGAGAGAAACTCCTCCAGCTAATCCATCCATTGAAGAACCACCGAAGCTAGAACTAAAGCCACTGCCAACCCACCTCAGGTATGAATTTCTGGGACCTGACTCCACTCTACCTGTTATTATCTCATCTAGTTTGTTAGATGTGCAGGTCCAACAGCTTCTACAGGTATTGAAGGAGTGCAAATCTGCCATTGGGTGGACCATGGCAGACATCAAGGGGATCAGCCCCGCTTACTGCATGCATAAAATTCTGCTGGAAGAACGGCACAAACCTTCCAGGGAACATCAGAGGAGGCTGAATCCAAATATGAAGGAAGTAGTGAAGAAGGAGGTGATAAAGTGGTTAGATGCGGGAATTATTTTCCCAATCTCTGACAGCAACT